ACTCCAGGCCTCTGGGAAGACATAACCCTGGGTTAGAATCCACTGCTCCATGATGGGTTGGTTCGCTCTGGGGAGACGGCTGTGCAGAGGGCTCCCCTGGTAAGGGCTGTAAATCCGCGGCCCTCCACGGACCCAGACCTGCCACACACCCTGGGCTCAGGTGTTCCGCCACCAAGGGCCAGGGTCACAGGAAGACCCCAGTGGCAGAAGCCATCGTGGAATGGATCCCCTTCCCCTGGGCCCCACAGGCCTAGGCCCAATCATAGGGTCACCTACCACCAGCTGTGCATCCTCAGAGGCTCCTCCACTGAGTTCAGGCCCGTCCCTAGTAGGGAGGTAACAGGGGCTGCCACAGCCCCATCCAGGCCCCTCTCCTTCCAGGACTGCCTGGGCCTCCGTCTTCAGATAACTGTGCAAGACACATGGTGACTAGCCCCTGCCTCTGACCCCTGGGGGCCCGGGGTCGTCACAGCACCACACCCTGCAAGGCCTGGGCTAAGTCTAGCTCTTCCAGGAAAGAGAACAATTCTGCCCACGTGTCCATGTCTGCAAGGTGACTGTCACCCAACCCAGGCAAGGGCAGGTCAGCACTTTTCAAGGAAGGTCTTGGGTAAAGCAGAACTGCCCCAGGGGCACGGCAGCCCTCCCTAGGCGGCTCTCTGGGGCCCAGGTCCCCTTCCTTCCCCTCTGCAGGCAGCAAGGGCACTGGCCTCTGGGACCTGGCCTGCAGGGGCAACGGGCAGGGCAGAAGACAGGCAGGCTCTGGGAGGGCCAGGGGGCAGGGGAGAGTGGCACAAGGCCATCGTGGAATGGACCCCCTTCCCCTGGCCTGTGGCTGCACTCCAGGTCGGCGGCTGCCTGCCCTGTGCCTGGCAGAGCTGACCTGTGTCACAGCAGCCCAGGAACTGTTAGGTAACTTTGAGGCTCCCCGAGTGTGGAGTGGCTCCTCGCTGTGCAGGCCCTAGCCCTGGTCTAGACCTGTTAGATGGCCCATGGCCAGAGCCCCTGGCACTTAAGGTTCGAGGATACAAACACATACTGGCCAGTCACTGCTCCACTGGGCCAGCTGCCCTCAGGGCTTTSGGGCCAGGACCACATCTATGTAAATCATGTAAGAGGCAGTGGTAGGTGGCACATCCACAGGTTGGGAGCCCCCATTCTCACAGGGTCTGGTAGGTTGGCATAGTAGCCCAAGGTCAAGGGAAAGCAAAAGGGTGGGCAGCAGGGAGCTCGGCACTCCAGCCTGGAGGCCTCTCTGTCAAGGCGCCACATGGCCTCAGGGGCACACAGAGTTCCCCGTCTTGCTGCCACCCAGGACCACACTCTAAGACCTTGGCTGTGCCCGCCTCCCCTCTGTCTCAGGGCACCTTGCAGCCAGTTCTCACCCACTGGACCAAGTTCTTCTGGAACCACGGATCTCAAGCTTTGGGGATTTGTGGACTTTGGGGATCTGAGGCCACTGGCTCTTTGGATCCTTTCTCCTGCCCTCTTCCTGGTGTCCCCCTCACAACAGTGTACACACTGGTGCCCACATCCCCCTGACACTGCTGATCTTCTCCCTTCTTCCCTCTGCTTTTCCAACTACATAATTCCCACCCATCACCTTCAAGTTCACTGCTTCTTTCTTGCTCCAGGTCAGATCTACCTTTGGGTGCCTGCTGAATTTTTAATTTCAGTACCTGTCCTTTCCAACTCCAGAGTGTCCATTTGGCTCTTACAGGATTTACTGATAAACTCTATCTTATGCAATGCACTCTCAGTCCTTCCCTTCCCTCTCTCACCTGTGTCTTGATCATGGTGCCCTTTTGGTTTTTTGACAGTATTCATAAACCTCATAGAATTCTCTTTCTGTGGAGGGAGCATCYTGCTCTGGCAGGCAGTTTCCACCACCGGCTTTTCCCCAGTCGACCGGCTCTGCTTGGTTTTTTTTTTTTTTTWAATGTTTTTTTTTTTCCGTCTTTAGGTGGATATGATATCTTTATTTTTATTTTTAGGTGGTGTTGAGGAGTGAACCCAGCGCCCCGTGCAGGCCAGGCGAGCGTGCTACTCCTGAGCCACATCCCCAGCCCTGTGCTTATTTCTTAGCACGTTTCATAATTTGTTGTTGGAAAAGGCACCTTGCAGTCCCCTTGAGTGGACCACAAAGTCCACTCCAGCGTCCTGTGGCAATCATGAGCCTCACTGCTGCTCCCGTTTACTGTGCCGAGCGGCTGGCAGGATCGCTTCAGTGGTCACCAGTCACCCTCTCCCACAGCCTCTGCCGGAGCCTCGACTGCTCCCGGGCGCAACCTGGGTACTGGTCGCCCAGTGACGGTGGTTTGAGTGTGCTGTGCTCCCCGACTGCAGGTCCTGGCCACACCAGCTGCTGGGCCCTCTACTTGTGGCCAACTGTGCAACTTTTTCAGTAGCGCCCTGTGATAAACCACTTTAGAGCTGAGCCCAACCAAACGTGGGCTCCTGCAGTGGGACAGTTCCCGAGGCCAGTGTTTGTATTGACTCCTAGACAGCTGTCTGCTGTCTCTCCAGGAGAGCTGTGAATGACTCCCCGTGCCCTTCTCCACCCCATCATCTGGTTTTTTTGTTCATGTGGTGCTGGGATTGAATCCAAGGCTGGTACACACTCCAGGCACCTGCTCTGCCACTGAGCGCCCCAGCCCCCCACAGCCCCACTCAGTTTTGAGAGCACCCTTCCACTTGAACTTCACACCCCAGCAAATGAAGTCAGCTCCTAGAGAGGGGTCTGCAGCTGCTTCATGGCCGCTTTCCTTGGCCAGCTCTGGGCTGGGGCGGACGCTGTCACATCTCTGCATGACGCCCTTCTTCCCCTACTTCAGAGTTGAACACCGGTCTCCTGAGCTGAGGCCCACTGAGTCCCGCACCTGGGCTCACCTGAAATCCGACGTGGCTGTGGAGGGCCTGAGGCAGGAGACCTGCACTGGCCTTCCCTCCTGTGCCCAGGTGCTTTCCGGTCCTCTACAAGCATGCTGCCAGGACCCCTGGAAGCTAGCTGAGCTCATGTGAGGGACGTGGCCTGAGGGGCAGGAGAGGAAGTGAGGTGGCAGCTGAAGGGTGCTCACAGAAGTGACGGACTGTTTCCTTCAGGCTGGAAGTAGATGGTGGTGGAGCTGCAGCAGCTGAAATGATGTAAGGAGGCCCAGTCTTCTCCTCGTGCAAGGACCCAACCTCATGGTGCCCCACACTGCAACTTCACCTACCTAACCACCTTCCCAAAGCCCCACCGCCCCATGCCATCCCACCGGCAGTTAGCATCTCAACATGAACTTGGGAAGGACAGACATTGTGGGGACACGGGCATGGAGTTCTGCACACATGGCATACGTTAAGGGCATCTGAGTGGCAAACCACTCCCCTGTGCGGGTGTGCGAGCGGCACACGGCTTGCCCTGTAGGCACAGCCCTGGTGTGAGGCCACGTGCTGCAGTCCCTGCGCTTGCTGCATGGCCCACTCCTTGCCTGGCCGCTGGAGGACAGTTAGCAGACACTGCACTGGTGGCTGCCTGACTGCTTAGCTGCTGCCTGACTGTACAAACATGGTGACTGCGCAGTAAGGTCAGACCTGCTTCCTGCCTGGTCCCTGGAGGTCTGGATCAGCGACTCCGCAGCCACACTCTCCTACCCTGTTCCGTGGACCTCCTCGCTGGACGAGAGAGCCCACACAAGACATGCAGTCCACAACACTGCTGTCGCAGGGATACAGGCCACAGACCCAACACCCCATCAGAGGGCTGATGGGGTGCTGCCACTGGTGCAAGTTCTCCAACATCACATCACATGCCCCCAGGGCTGTGGACATCCCTCGCAGAGGCCGCCTGAACGGAGTCRGGGCAGCTTCACAGGGAAGTCATGACTGCCCCACCGACATTGGGGTCTCCTCCCAGTGAGAGTTCAGTGCTGAGGGCACTGGCCCAGAACAAGGCCTGACTCACTGGACAGCCACGACAGAGGCACTGACTCCTGAAACCTCTCAGGAGGGCGTGGAGAGGCTGGCCCTGCCTTGGCACTGCTGAGGGCACTGCAGGTCTGCCCCCATCCAGACTGTCAGGAAGTGGGGGCTCAGGTTTGGCCAATGGACCTCCCAGGAAGTGGCCTGCAAGGTCTGAAAGGTGACAGGGTGGGCCCCTGAACCAGTAACACCCACAGAGGGCAGGCATGTCCCCCAGGGTGGGAAGCTGCCCCTAGAGCCCTCTCACTGGGGCATGACAGAGGAGTGCAAGCACACCAGGTCCTGCCCTCAGGGGAGCCAAAGGTCAGCAAGGGGAGAAAACCCGTGGCCAGGGGACTGGGGCAGCCGGGGTCCTGACTGGACTGCAGTGCCCAGCAGCCCTCTCGACCTGCAGGGGTGGACTTRGCCAAGGTTCCCAGGTCAGAAGGCGAAGGCACTTAAATGGGACAGAGATCACACTGCTCTGCAGACCACTGGGGAAAGGGAAGACGTGCTCCCACCAGCTCAGGTGTAAAGTTGGGCATGGGGGGTCCACCCAGAACTGTTTGGGAAAGGTGCTGAGGCTAAGCTGCAGGGCCACATGACTTCTGGAGAGGCTGGTTGCAGCTGTCCAGAGAGCACAGGGCTCTTCAGGGAGCATGGAAGTACCGAGGCAGGAGCCTGTGCCAGGAACCTGGACCTGGCACTCAGAGGTGGGCAGTGGACCTGTGCCTCTGCACAGCACTCGCCTCAGGCCTTCTCTTATGGAGTCTGAAACTCTCTAGTGACAAGCCCACAAGGAAGCTGCCAAAAGCCTGCAGAGGACAGGAAGGGAGAGCAGAGGACAGGAAGGGAGAGCAGAGGACAGGAAGGGAGAGCAGAGGACAGGAAGGGAGAGTACAGGGTCAGCCCGAAGGGGGCTTGTCTCTGGAGCTGTTCTGGAAGGAGGGGTGCCCTGTGGCCACACAACACCCAGACAGGACAGGAGCAGTTGTGAGGGTGAGATGGTTCTGGATCGTAGAGTCTGATGGGCACAGATCATCTGTAGGGTGGGGAGGGCTGCCAGCAGGGTGCACATCCGCTTGGTAGGTCCAAGATTTGGCTCTGCCAGCAACRGGTGTGACGCCCGCCCTCCACCCTGCAGAACCCCAGGCAGCTGCAACACAGGCCTCCGCTGTGAGCCAGCAACGGCATGACGCAGACACACAGGCGCCCTCCACAGGCACGAAGCAGAGCACGACGGCAACACAACACGAGGCCACAGAGCCCCAAGAATCCGCAACGAAACTTCAAAAACTATCTGGTTTTTATGATCTTCCCACATGCTTCAAAGAAACACACATTCTACAACACAGCGCTATATCAACGTCACTACGGCCTCAGCGTCTGGACAGACCAGAACCACAAACCTCCCTGTAAGCCCCTTGGCTCTCAGGATCGTAGCAGCGCGTCTCTTGATGGAATACCTGAAGTGGGAATGAAACCACGTGCCAACTCAGCTGCCAGGATGCGAATCCAAGAAGGAATGGAGCTCAAGGGCAAAGGAGTGAGCTCGGAAAAACACCAATTTCATAGCCACAACGCAGCTAACGTGGTGGACAGGGCCTCTGGAGTCACAGCCAGGAAGCGTGGTGCTGCTAGASGTAAAGCCACAGAGGGCTACTAAGGCCGAGGAAATGACCGCGTCCTAGGGTCGGCCTCCCCACACCCACTGGTACAGACAGGCCTTCCCCACGAGCAATGCTGCCCTGGAAACAGCAAGGACGAAAGCTTCCACGCTGCTGGGGCCTGTGTCACTGTCCTCAGTGGCCGTGTGCAAACCTAAGACTAGTCTCTGAACTCCTGATGGCGGCTTGTCCATTAGGGCTCTAACTGAAAGTCTGGGAGCATGGAATACCGACTTTGTAGTGGTCTCTGAGCCAAATGCTAAAAACAACAGTCCAGGGTCCCTGGGGGTGACAAGAGGGCCTGCCTGGGCCTGAAGGGCAGGCTCTTCTGCTGAGCATGACAGTGGCTGTGCCAATGGGGAGACGTGTGGCCCGAGGGCACTTGAGGTCAGGAACTGAGTCCCTGCCCTCACACTCGACTTGGGGTCCACCCAGCACATGACTACTGCCAGCCCAGCCTACCCAGCCTCCCTGGGGCAGGAGGTGCTGCCCCTGTGGGCTAGCACAGCGCTCTTCTCTGCCAGGACAGACACACCACTATCCAACACAGCAAGGTTTGCCAGGCAACAGATGATTCGGAATTCACCCAGCCTGGCCCCCAGTCTCAACAGAGGAGGCYTGGGTGTGCTTAAGGTAGCATGGGCTCTTCCAGAGGGTCCCCTCCCATTCACAGGACGTAGCACACGACACAGGTTTCAATCAGCCAAAACACACAGGCCTGGGTCCTTCTGAGWAATGGAGACAATGTGCTGGGGGCACCACCCCCTGGGGGAGCGCTTAAGCTCTCTTTGAGCATGCTCTCCCACCCAGCGGGTAGTCTGTGTCCCAGGACTGACCCCAGGTCCTAGGGGTCAAATGGGTGTGATGACAGCCATCAGTTATCACTGGCTGTGGATGAGCAGGGCAGTGGGGAGTGGGCTGTGGCCCTGCACCTGCCCGGGTGATCCTGGAGGGCCTCAAGCTTCACCATGGCCCTCAGGGCGACGGGCTGCTGCCTCAGCTGCAGCCGCCTCCTGAAGGCAGAGTGCAGCGCGTGCAGCTGCCCCACCTCCTGCGTGCTGAAGCAGGGCTGCTGCTCCGCGAAGTGCACAATCGCCTCAAAGGCTGCGGCCGCCTGCTCCCAGGCCACCTCGGCCGCAGAGTCCTCCCCAGCGTCTCTCTCCACCCGGTCTGCATTCCCGTCAGCCTCAGCCAGCAGCATAGCAGCGGGTGCCTCCTCCACCTCCCTCCCTGCACTGGGCGGAGGCCTGTGGCCTGGGCAGAAGGGGCCCTCCCTCACGAGCTCGAGGATGTGGGCCAAAGTCTTGTTATGAGGCTTGGCACTGCAAGGCTCGGCCTCTTCGTCCTCCTCGCCCTCGGAAGAGCCTTCTGCAAACATGACAGCAGGCCACAGCTTCCTCCAGGCCCTCCTGAAGACATGGCTGGGCACAGCGTTCCAGGCACAGGCCACGCTGAGTATGGCATCGTTCATGCTGTACCGCGGGTGGAAGCCCTGCAGGCTCCCAGGGGGGTTGATGAAGTGCCTCATGAAGTCTCTTCGGATGCCCTGCTCCATGGGCTGGATCAACGACGTCACACTGGCAGGCAAGAAGATGGTGAAGATGTTATCAGATGCCAACGCAGCCTCCTGTGGGTGGGCCCTGGAGTCGTCCAGCAACAGGATGGCCTTGCTGTCTGCCGGCAGACCTATGGTTCTAAAGTGTTCTCTGACCGAGGGGACAAAGATGCGGTGGAACCAATCTGAGAAGATCTCCTTGTCCACCCAGGCGTTACCCTGGGCCTTGTAGGCGACAGGCAGGTGCTGGATGCCGGTGAAAGCCCTGGGGCCACGGCATTTCCCGATGGCCAAGGGCTTGATTCTATGGGAACCTGTGGCATTGGCACACATCAGGACAGTCAGTCTGTCCTTGCCCTGCTTGAGGCTGGGCATAGTCCCACCATCTGGGTTGGGACTTGGCAAGCACCTCCAGAAAAGACCGGTCTCATCGGCACTGTACACCTGCTCAGGAGATAGCCYGTGCTCAGTGGTCAGGCTCCTAAAGAAGCCACAGAACTGCTCCGCTGCCTGGTGGTCAGCTACCTGCTTCTCACTGGATGCATCTAGCTTTTTAATGCCATGCCTGGCCTTAAAACGCCAAAGCCACCCTCCAGAGAACACACAGGGCTCGGTCAGCCGCATCTGCTCGTAGAAGTCCTTGGCCTTCTCGATGAGCATGGGGCCTGACACGGGGACACCCTCAGCACGCTTCACCAGGAACCACTCATACAATACCCGGTCCAGGTGCTCCAGCTTGGGTGTGTGCAGCGTGCGCCGCTGCTCCAGTGCCTGGTTGGAGTCAGAATTGGCGAAGAACCGGAGCAGCTGGGCCTTGTGGGCCTTGATGTCGTATAGGGTGGACATGCCCACGTTGTACTCCTGCATCAGCGCCTTTCTGCTCTCGCCCCGCTCCAGGCGTGTGCAGATGTCAATCTTCTCCTTCAGCGTCAGCACCACCCGCTTCCGCTTCCCCACCCTGCCCTTCACGGCAGCCTGCTTAGAGGCCATGGGAAGGGTGGCCGGCCTGCTGCCTCTTGTTCCCACTGTGAGCTTCCCCTCCGTGACTCAGGTTCTCCCTTCTTGTCTCTGCTGCTCCTGGGCTCAAGCCCAGTCCTCCTTGGCTCTACCCTCTACCTGCAGCAACCTCTTCCTCAGCTTCCCCTGGGCATCCAGGCTCTGGAAGCTCAGGCTTCAGCTACTGGCAAAGTGGTCAGCTGCTGATCCTCACCGCAGGGGAAATTTTCAGCATCAATCTGCCCTAGACTGCTTGGTGTGGCTGGATCCTCAGTCTTCTTCTCAGGGACAGTAGCAGGTGTTCCTCAAACAATGCCCAGTTTCTGATTAATGAAGGTATTGTGGCATAAGCGAGGTGCTCGTTTCCAGGGTCCACAATGGTGTCTCACCCACAGTGCTTCAGAAACTAAAAAGCAGAGGAGAAGGAAAACATCACGTCAAGCGCCAGGACATACCTGCGCACGTCCTCACTACTCAGACCCAACAGGAAGCTTTACCTGAAACAAGTGCTATGACATTCCTGCCACCCTCTCAACTCCAGCCCTTCCTGGCACAGGGAGAGCGTACAGATCACAGAGGCTGCAGCACCACCACCCCGTTCTTTGATGAAAAGGCACATAGGAACCCCAAAAGAACTCCTGAGGGGTCCACTCCTCCCACCTCCCTTCTAAACCTTTATGTGGATTGCTTCATCCAACTTCCTGCAGTCCAAGAAGCCAGAAGGCTACTTACAGGTACAGCATGTAAAACACACACCCCCTAAGACCACACAGGGCAGGCTTGTCACCAGTCACCTCTGGGAACTCCTTTCTCCATCAGTTGGCCTCCTGGTCTGCCAAACGTCCTGCTGGTGCTTTGCACCACAGTACTGAGTGTGAGTGAGCACCCTGCCTAGCACAGCACACACAGCCCAGGAGGTGCATCACACTGTGGGAAGAGATGGCAATCAGGCCGTAGGCCAGCCTCAGGAGGATTTCTAAAAGGAAACTGGGGGATACGTGGGATCACACAGGAACCTGTGAGGGGCCAACAAATTTCAGGAGGAGTTTCATGGCGTTGGATGTGCAAATGTGTGCAGGTGTTATGAGGTGGCTGAAAACGCTGCTGTCTGGCTTGCAAGACAAAGCGCTTGAAATGCCTTCCTTAGAAATGAAATTCAGAAATGGCAAGAGACATTCTGGTGGCTTCTTCCCTTGCAATTCAGAGGAAGCACTGACATCATGAGGCCACGTGACCGTGGACTTCAAGTATCCTCCTGAGCCCAGGGGTGGACAACACACTTGAGTGGTGGTGGACAGGACAGAGGTGCGGCAGGAAGGACAGCGGCACTCRTCCACTCTCAGACACGGTCCTGTGTGCAAGGACATAAATTTCCTTAGGCCAAGGTTGTTAAGGATGGACCTTTTCACCGACGACTATGGTTGTGCGCGGGCAAACGCGGGCATCCATCAGGGGCAAAGATCCAAAACACAAGTGTCCTGGAGACTGGGCAGGCGAGGACCCGGAGCCCCGGGAGGAAGGGTCCCGGGAGAGACTCCAGTGCACATTGCAGAGGGGGTGGGGGCGCGTTGGGGGCCGCGGAGGGACACCGCCTGCATCCCGGGCACCACGACCGCGAGCAAACTCCGTGCGAGGGAAGCGGCGGCCACGGCCCGGCCAGGGGGGCGCCAAAGGCCGGGGCCGCGCAGACCTGGTCCCGGGACAGCGGCGAGGGCAGGCCCGGCCGTGCGAGCCTCGAGGGCGCCGCGGCAGCCCGGCCCCGCCCCGCCGGCCGGCCGCAACCGGGCCCACTCACCTGCGTCCGGGCCGCCGCTGTCGGCCGGAAGTGCGCCGCGCCGCTCTCCCCAGCCCGCGCCTCGCCGCCTTCCCCGGCCACTTCCGGGACGCTCTAGGCAGGCGGAGGACTCGTCCTCTCTGTGGCCCTCCCAGGGGTCTGAGAGGGACTGGAAGTACCCAGCGCAGGGATGCTGCAGGTCGGCAGGTGCTGCCRGCCCCGCGCTGTGCGAGGCTTGTTGGGACCGCTGTTGCTGGGCCAGTGCCTGCGGCAGTGTGGCTTCCCCACAGGGACATCCCGCCCAACCTCCTACTTAGCTAAAGCCCCATTCGCGGCTCMCCTAGATGATTTTGAAACAGGTGAGCTGGAGAGGCGTCTCTGAGATTTGCACTGGTGTTGGTGGACACCGAGGAACTCAATGCGTTTTGCTGGTGAACTGTGGAGTGCACTGTGGTGGGCTGAATGGTGGCCCCCGAGGGTGCCCCCTCCTAATTTTCAGAACCTGTGTATTCATGGCCTGGCATGCCAGAGGAGACTTGGCAGATGCGATTAAGTTAAGGGTCCTGAGACGGGAGGTTATTCGGGTTGTGTGGGTGGGCCCCGTGTCATTACAAGGGTCCTGTAAGAGGGAGCAGGAAGGTCAGGTGGGAGAAGACAGTGTGCCCATGAAGGCAAAAAGATCACCGCTGGGACCCGAGAGCCACGTGCTTTACTGGCAGAGGAACTGTCAGATCAGGCGAGGTGGGCAGCGACCAAAGGAAGCAGATTTAAAAGGGCCGCTGAACCAGGCTTTATTGAGATATCATTCCCCAGGCGGAACTCGATCGGACCCACAGAGTGGACACGAGAAGGGTCTGAGGAGAAACCACGTGGAAGCTTGACCGGACTGGACTTTTATGGGGCTTACAGCAGGAAGGGAAGGGCTGGGGACAGGAAAAGGTGTTTTTAGGGTCCTTTGTCCCCTTGGAGTTGGTCAGGGGAGATGGCTGAACTCCAGGATTGGCCAGGGATCCTGCTGATTGACGTGGGTTTCTGCCAGCACCTGATTGATGTTCCTTTTCCCGGGCAGGYGGCGGCTGGTCCCCAGTGGGGGAGGCTTCGAGAACCTGGGAAAGCCAGGAAGCAGATTCTCTTGGGGCGTGCACCTGTGACACCTGGATTTTTGCATCATAAGACTCATTTCAGACTCTGACCTGCTTCGGCTGCTACACTGGAGCCACCCTGCAACTTACACAGCAGCCCTTGAAACAGTGACCACCCTGTGGTCAGGAGTGGCATGCTGGAGTTGAGTGTTTGACAGAGGAAGAAACATGAGATAATGGGTCTCACTATGGCACCTGGTCACAGCCCCCACAAAAACTCATACAGAGCTTGCTAATTCACTCCTTGATTCACAGTCCTCCCTTGGGCCAGCCCTGCCACCACCTGGTTCTCTCCTTGCCCTCCCTCACTGGTCCCCACCTGGCTCACTTCCTGGCTCTCYACCCACTCACACTCCCAGGTGGTTTCCAGTATCAGGGCCTCAGTACCAGGGAAGGCTGGCTGCTCCCAAGTCAAGTCTCTTGCCAGGCCCTCCCCTGAAATCCAAACTCCTCTTCCTACAGAACACTTCTGCACAGCTTCCTAAGAGGCATTTCTAGGCTCTACTCTCTCTCTCCAGCCACTCCACACCACACCCCACAGACCAGGAGCTCTGATTGGCTCTGCCCCTGGTCCTGCCTCAGGCCAGCAGTGGTCACACCCACCCCACCCGGCTCTTTTCTTTGTCCTTTGTCCCATTGTCAGCTTTTGGCTGCTGCAGAGTGAACCACCCYGAAACTCTGTGGGAAACTCAGTGGCATGACAGGTGCTGTTTGCTAGCATTAAGTGTGTTTGACAGGAAGAGATAGTGAGGGAGCCTAACAGGGGACCCCAAGACCCCCAGGCTCCCTGATGGGGCTTCCAGGACAGCCAGGTGCCCAGACTGGCTGGCCTACCAGTGGTTCTCTGCTGCCGCCTRCTGGACCCAGAATTGAAAGTACCTCCCAGACCAGCCGTGCTGGAAGGGTGGGACTGGGCATGGAACTGGGGCCTGGGATGTCACTCCAGGACCCTTGGACCTCATCAGATGGACTGAGTTCACTCTGGCAGTGGGGAGGGGGTTCAGAAATAGAGGCCTGGCACTGAGCACTCTCCCCAGCTTACAGGATAAAGCCCTTAAACCACAGCCACAGCCTCCTTGCTGACCACTCCTCACAGCCAGAGTGACCTTGGAGAGGTCAGTCTGGGAAGGTCACTCCTCCCTCTCTGAAAAGAGCCCGGGTCCTCAAGGCCAAGTGTTCTGGACCCACAGCCCTTTACCAAGCCCTGGTCCATCCTGTGGGCTGTGCCCTCTGCTGTAGCCCCCTTTGCCTGGAGGTGTGCCTGGACCTGGCAGTGCCCCTCACTCCAGCTCTGGAGGCCTCAGGTGGGAAAGGCAACAGCCAGTCCTCCCTTCAGGAGGGTCTCGGGGATACCTGTCTCCCACAGTGAAGAGGGGACTGCAGCTCCCCGTCTGAGGCCCGTGGCAGAGAGGGAAACTGTCCTGGGTGGGCCTGGGGTCTCCACTCACTGACTTCCCTCCAGGAGTGGGGGTAGAAGAAAAGGTAAGGAAAGGGGCACAGAGAGGGGCTTGGAGGGTGCATTGCACAGGRGGGAAGGTGGTCTGGGGCCAGGCCCTCTGGGGAAGTAGAGGTGGGAGGGGATTCAGAAATAGAGGAAGGGAAGAAGGGCATTGATGTCAGGCGCAGGAGGGGCTCTAGGCTGCCCAGGCGGCTCCCCAGAGGGTGAGCGCCCCAACTCCTATCTGCATACAGGCTCACACTCCCATGTGGCACACATTTACACACTCATGCTCACATACAGCCTACAGACAGCACACATTCAAATCACTCAGAGTTTGCAAGACATGGCCTTTGTTTCCAAGAGGAGGCTCAGCTCTGCTGTGTACAGGCCATGCTCCTGGCTGCAGGCAGTCTTCACAGGAAGAGACCCTCGGTGGTRTAAATGGAAGTCAGTTCTTTTTGTGATTTACATGCTTATTTTTAAAAACTAGCTGTGCATGAAATAAAAATATACAAATACGATGTGTGTTCCAGCAGGGGCCTGAGTGCAGGCTCCACTGGAAATGGTGGTCTGTGGGCAAGACCGCCCCGTGAGGGGTCCACACCCAGGGAGCAGCAGCTCCTGTGGTATGTGGACAGGCAGGATCTCCAGGGAGCCCAGCAGGTTTGAGACTGCAGTGACTGGGCAGGTCAGGTAGGGCCATAAGAGCAGAAGAATCTGGAGTCCCAGGAACTGGCTAGAGAACAAGGGACAGAGGTAAAGATTGAGTCATGTTGAGGCCCCATCTGGACCCCATCCACTCACGGAGGGACCACAGGGGTCATTCCTTTCTGCAACAAACCCTCCAGGAAGCAGGACCACCAGAGGATCAGGCCCAGTGTGGCTCAGGGGCGGCATGTGATATGTGCCCAAAGAGTGAAGGACAGAGGGCAGACATCAGTGGGTGGATGTGCTCCTGGCTTATTTGGGGACCAGGGTCAGAGTTCAGAGTGAGGTCTCAGTGCTGGGCTGAGGTCAGGGTGGGGCTATAAGGAAGCTGTGGCTACTAGGCCACCCTTAGACCAGGGCTCTCACCCTTAGCACTACTGATATTTAGGGCAGGGATTGGGGAGGGGAGTGGCTGTCCTGTGCACAGCAGGATGTTGAGCAGATCCTGGGACCACTCAACCCCATGCCAGCAACACCCTGGGTTGGGACAACCCAAGCCGCCTGCAGGCAATGCTAAACACACTTCATATCACATCCAGTGGACAAACATTTACACACCTGTAAATGTTTGGGGAATGAGTGTTCCAGGTCAGTGCTGGTGCCGGGTGCCACCAGTGCGGAGACAGATAAGGAAGGCTCTGTCCAGGGCAGCCAGAGTTCTCGTGGGCTGGGGTTGGTGGGAGGACCAGGCAGGTGGGCAGCCACACGAGGAAACAGCCTCGGAGAGCTGAATCCCTGCATGTGGCGCCTGCGCTGCACTAACAGGCCTGTGGGCTGGAGGGGATGTTCAGAGAGAAAGTTCCAGATGAGAGCAGAGGGTATGAAGGGGTCCTGGGGATGCCACACGCAGCCTGTGTGACCTTGAGCCCAGTCCTGTCCCCCCCCCCACTGAGCCCCAGGTTTCTCACTGCCAGAAAAGAGAATTTATGAGAAAAGAGACCAACCCAGAGGTGCTGGAGAGCTGGGCAGTTCATGGGCTTCTGCCACAGAGTGCTGGAGGATCTAGGCCTTATGTCACCCGTCCCATCAGCTAGGTCACCTTACCCAGGCTCTGGTGGTTCCTGCAAGCTGCTGGGCTCAGGACCCCAGGATGCAGGTGCCTCTTGGCCTTTCTGAGCCCCTCAGTAGTCCTTGGGTTGGGCTGATTCCCTGCACCCACTGCCCACCCTAGCATGCCAGGGCCTTTCTAGAGAGGATATCCCCAGGGTAGGAAGAATAGTTCAGTGCCCATCAGCAGGGAAAGGAGGGTACCAGAGGACAAGGGGCTCTTTCCCAGCCRTGTAAAACTGACCAGTGGCCGTGGCCAGCACTTCTGTCCACAGTCATCGGCTGGAGCAACAGTGTACCCAAAGGGTCACAGGAGCATGGCGGAGGGGCCGAGTATGCAGACAAGCCTCAGTAGAGATGGGCAACAGGGACCATGAGTCACCCCAGGGCCAGCAGCAGCAGGAAGCTACTGTCCTGGGCCTGGCAGGGCAGACAGGAGGAAGAGTGACCAGAGCTGGCTGGGGAGCTGGCCCATAGCACCTGGGGCCCCTCCAGAGGGACACGGCACCTCCAACCCAGCCCTGCAGTCAGGGTGCTGGAGAAGGAAACAGCTGGGCCAGGGCCGGGTGCAGAGGGGTCTGGGTAGCTGAGCCAGCTGGAGTGCCGACTCCTCACCCCTCCTCCTGTGCGGGGGCTGCTGAAAGCCATGTGGTCCCCAACTTCCTTGCACCTGAAGTTCCAAGCTGTGGATTAAATATGGTCCTGTTGAGAAAGCCCATGGCCATCTGAGGTCCCCACTGGCCTCCAGCCCCTTCCCTAGAGAAAGCAACTCCGGAAYGGCCCAGCCCAGGGGCGGCTTCCTAGCAGCTGCTCTTGCCATGGGCAGCACTTGCTGCTGATCTGTCTGATCAAGGCTTGTCTCCCCCATGGACCGCAGGCCACAGGAGGGAGGACAGGCCTCCCTCTGTAGGGCATGAGGCATAATCTGGGGCCTGAGGACTTCCCAGCCCTCATTCTGGGGGTGGCTGAAAAACAGCCTCCCCGGGGAGAATGGCTCCACCCTGGGCAGGCTGTGTCCTCYGAGGCAGAAAGAAGGACAAAGGAGTGGGAGGGGCCATTTGGGAGGGCCCAGATTGGAATCTGCCCAGCCTGAGCCTCACTGGCCCCCAGGAGCCCGTCACTGTTGACTGAAGGCCCACGGAGCCTCCCTGCCTGCTGAAGTCATATAAAGCCTCCCTGAGGCCTGTCCCCCACCCGCCTGTGACCATGAAGGCTGTCCTCCTTACCCTGCTGGCCATTGGCTTGGCCCTCCAGCCAGGTGAGCCTCAGCCAGCCATGGGGCAGGACTGAAGGAAGGGGCCTGTGGAGGCCAGAAGGGTCCCAGGGAGCAAGCGGGGGGGGGGGGGGGGGGGGGGGGGGGGCGGGTGGGAGGAAGGAGGCGGGTGTCTGCCCACTGGGCTCCCTGGAGGGTGACTCTGGGCACATCTGGGAAGCAAGGATGACACCTTGCAGTGAATTTTTCCCTGCTGCTCGCAGGGTTGGAGGGGCAGAAGTCAAATGGACAGGGACAGGGATGCTGACCAACAGTCCTGGGAGGCACAGGGGCAAGACATCTCGTGCTCAGAAGGGAAGGAAGGAGGCTGGAATGAGGAGGTGCTGGGGCTGCACTGAGAAGACCCGAGGCCACACCAGCCCTGACGTCCACCCCACGGGAGAGCTTGTGTCCAGGTGGAGGACCCAAGGGGATGGTTCAGCCTGTGCTGTGGCTGGCCAAGTCACTGACCCTCTGAGAYCTCAGTGTCCTCTTCTGGAAAGTGTGGGCAGGGGGCTGTCCCCCGAGGCCACCAGGAAATTGAGCAGGACAACACTCCAAGGGCACCCAGGGTAGGGCTGGGGAGGCGCTTGGACCTGTTTTCAAGGAGGTGCTGCGGAGCCAGYTGCAGCAGCTTTGAAGGGAGGAGACTTAAGCAGGACACCCTGGTAGCTGGGGTCACTGGACCCAGGGAGGGCAGGACCTGACCAGGGGCCACTTGTGGTCACATAGCACCAAGAGGCCTRAGAGGGGCTGAGACCAGGTGGGCCTAGGGGATAAGAATGGATAGGCCTGAGGCCTGGTGGCCTAGGAAAGTCAGGGAACAGTCTCCTGACACCCCCACCCTTCCTCTCCAGGGCCCAGCTGGGCCCCTGCAAGACAGGGTGAGCCAGGCCACACGGGGGCTGGTCATCTCTGCCCTTCAGGGAGCATGGCATGGTATGCAGCCAGGGGCTGCAACGTGGGCATGGAGGGGAAGCCATTCACAGGYGCAGCAGGGGAAGTGGGTGCCATTCCTCGGTGGACTGGGTACACCCAGGACCTTGTGAGGGGCCTGGGCTCAGGTCTGCACCCCCAGCAGTCTGGAAGGGCTCATGCCTTTCTCCATGCTGGTGGGGGAGAGAAAGTGTGGCAGGCCCAGGCTGGGAGGACAGCCTCTGACCTCRCTGCCCTGCCTGCCCGCCTCGCAGGTACCGCCCTCCAGTGTTACTTCTGCACGGCCCAGGTGAGCAACAGGGACTGCCACAACGTGCAGAACTGCACCCAAGGCCAGACCCAGTGCAAGACGGAGCGCATCCGTAAGTGCCTTTGCCCGGCTCCCTCCCTGCCACTGGCTGACCCAGGAGCCTGGGCTGGGTCTCTAACACTGTTCAGCCTTCTGTCCTCTGCCCACCTGACCATCTACCCAYAATCCACATGTCCCACCCCTTCCAGCACCCTCATCACCCCACACATCTACCCACCCCATCCTGCACTCACCTACCCACTCAATCTGTCTGGTGCTCAGCCCAAGGCCCAGCTGCCCTGGGTCCTTGGACATGGACAAGACCAAGCCCCTGGTCTCCTGCTGCTGGCAGCCTGGCGACCAGCTTGGGGTGTGGCTGTGGAGCTTGAGTTAGGGACAGGACTGGCTTCCCCAGCGGTCACCATGCCCCTCCAGGTGCAGTTGGGCTCGTGACCGTTATCAGTAAGGGCTGCAGCTYGGACTGTGTGGAAGATGCGGAGAACTACTACGTGGGCAAGAAGAACATCACGTGCTGTTCCAGGGATCTGTGCAATGCCAGTGGGGCCCACGGCCTGCAGCCAGCCACTGCACTGGGGCTGCTCGCCACGCTTGGCAGCCTGCTGCTGTGGGGGCCCAGCCAGCTGTAGGYTCCAGGAGGGTCCACAGCCAATGCCGTGTCCCTGACCTCATGACCTGGCAGAGGTCTAACCCTCACCCTGCTCCCCACCTCCACAGCTCCCCYGGGACTCCTGCCCGGTGCCCGCCTGCCCAGCAGGCTGGGCTGCAGTGCCTTAGAACAGCCTGCAGCCGGCTCCTCTGCAGGCCTTGGCTGCTGCTGTTGCCACAGCCCATGTTTTGGCCACCTTTGCTCAGGTGCCTCCTCTAGGAAGCCTTCTCTGCCCTCTCCTCCAGGATTGAGCCAGGGYCCTCCAAGGCTGAGATGAGACGGGCTGGGTAGCAGTCGGGCTGGGAGGGTCACAAGGCCCTGGATCTAGATGAGGCAGGCAGGGAGGGACGAGACCCCGTTCATGGACAACCTGGGAGCAGCCTGGCATACAGTATGCTCTTAATAAACACCTGTTGGACAAGCTGCAGAGAGCCTGTGTCCTTGACAGTCCAAGTCCAGGCCTGGGAGGTGTGTGGGCTCCACCTAGGCCATGTCTGTGCTCGTGGACGTGGCCTTGACTGAGAGGGCTGGAGTGCTGGCCTTGGCAAGAGCAAATGTGTGGCACCCAGAAGGGAGGAGGCCCAYGGGAGGCAGGAGGTCACCTCTCAACCCCCTTGGCCTTTGATGTGCAGCCTTGAGCCTGTGGCCAAGACTCTGAGCCTGCATGCTCATCTGTGGACCTTCCTGTTGTGGGGACAGGCCCTGAGCTCTCGGAAGGAGCATCTCGTGCTGGAAGGACAAGTGCCCGCTTTGGTTCCAACAAACCTGTTTTTCAAAGCTGTTTTGTTTGTGCAAAAAGCTRCAGGCGTACAGTAAACACTCAAAGACTGTGAGGGACCGGCTGCCACCCTCATCCAACCCCCAGGTCCATGCTCTGCTCTCTGCTGCCCCATCACACCTCCCGGGCTCCTTTGGGTGAATCTGTGTCCATGCTCACAGAGTGCTGGAGGCCCCTGGAAGGGTAYGCCCACCCCTTCCTTTGTCATTCCTGGGAAAGCCCCTTCGAAAGCAGCCTGGTGGGTGACATTCTCTGAGCAACAGCAAATGAGCTCAAAGCACATAACACCCTGTCTCTTCACCAGAGGGGTCACCCTCTCCAAGACAGGGCTCAGATCCCAACCAGAACAAGTAGGTGTTACAGGGACAACAGTGAGCAATGAATGCTTGGGAGAAGCTAGAGCTGCYCTGACAGGCAGTGAGCTCCCTGTCTCTGGGGGTATCCAAGAAGATCCAGGAAACCGGGAAACAGATCCGATCCCACTGCCACAGCTGCTGGCTGCGGGAGCAAAGCAGACCCAGAAAAACAAGTACTTTAGTTTCTGCTCTTGACGCAGACCAAAGCGAATGGCTTGCCCAGACCAAAAAAAAAAAAAAAAAAAAAGAATCCAGGGGCAGGGGAGTGGCAGTGGTGGTGTTGCCCCTGAGGGCCGCTTCTTTTCAAGGCGGCCTCAAACGTGCAGGACAAAGCGCTGCTGCGGTGGTCCCCAGAGCCTTTGGACCGCGGCAGGTTCCTGCACCAAGTGCAGACCTCAGGGTCGGCCTCCAGGGTCACCGACACTCGCGGTCATCGGAGAGGCTAGGGGCCTGCGGGAGAGAGCCGGTTGGGTCTTCTCGGGGTCAACTGCCATCCCTGGGGCAACGGACTGACACCGAGCGTGTGTGGCAGCCTGGAGGCCAAACGCTGGCACCTCCATCTCGGTGGCCTTTACGTCCGCCCGGCTCCTCCCCCTCCACTTCGGACGTTACCAGCAGCGGTTTCTAAAGGGGCAAGGGGCAGAAATGCTTGGGATGGGCTTGGGGTTACCGATCTTTGGCGGGGTCGGGGTGAGTGTTGGGAGCAATGAGGTTGCAGTCTGGAATGAAATCCACACGGGGCTCTGTCTCTGTGGGCGAGAGGCCTGGGGCCGGTGCGTCGGGTGCAGGTGGAGTCGCGCGGCAGCGCCTTTGGGGACCCGCTGTGTTCCATTTTTCCTGGCAGAGTCCCGCAGCCAGGGCCCGAGAAATGGAGCTCTGACTCAGCTCAGATAAGGAACCAGACTCAGGACGCGTCTTCAAGAACCGGAGAGACACCGGCTCGGGACTCGCAACCGGAGCCTGCGTGGCTGGGTCCGCTGCCGCCGCCTCTGCTCCCGCAGTGCCGCGAGCGGCCGCCGAGTGTCGCTATGATGCCCAGCGCGCCTCGCCCAGGCTGGCCCTTCCCTGCCGCGCCCAGCCCCGCCCCACGAAAAGCGAAAGCGGCGTCGGCGGGGGGGACGCGGAACCGACCACCGAGCGCGAATAGGGGGGGCCGGGAGCTGTAGGCGGGCTCCTGCCCGCGGCTTCCGGTTCGCTTCCCCCTCAACCGGCCTCGCGCGGTGGTTTGCTCCAGCAGCGGCGCTTGCTGGYTCCCAAGCTGCTGGCGGCGGGTAGCGGCGCAGCGGCTCCGGCTGGCATCCGCATAGCAGGCTCCGCCGCACGCCGCGATGTTGGGGTTGCTGGTGGCGTCGCTGGCCCTGGCACTCTCCTTCTTCGCGCTGCTGGATGGCTGGTACCTGGTGCGCGTGCCGTGCGCTGTGCTGCGCGCGCGCCTGCTGCAGCCGCGCGTCCGCGACCTGCTGGCGGAGCAACGCTATGCGGGCCGCGTGCTACCTWCGGACTTGGATCTGCTGCTGCATATGAACAACGCGCGCTACCTGCGCGAGGCTGACGTTGCGCGCGCTGCGCACCTGACTCGCTGCGGTGTGCTTGGGGCGCTGCGCGAGTTGGGGGCGCACGCCGTGCTGGCYGCCTCGTGTGCGCGCTACCGCCGCTCGCTGCGCCTGTTTGAGCCCTTCGAGGTGCGCACCCGCCTGCTAGGCTGGGACGACCGCGCCTTCTACTTGGAGGCGCGCTTTGTCAGTCTGCGCGACGGCTTCTTGTGCGCACTGTTGCGTTCCCGGCAGCACGTGCTGGGCACCTCGCCCGAGCGCGTCGTGCAGCACTTGTGCAAGCGCAGGGTGAGCAGCCCCCGACCCGTGGCACGACCCCCGGGGCTCCTCGTCTCCGACCTTCTCCCCCAGGGAAGGCCAGCCATCTGCTTCTCCTGGAGTACCCCGCCCAGCACTGTACCCTCTCTTGCCTTTAACTGAGGGCTCAGGGCCTTCCTCACCCGTGCCCATGTTCTGGGGGTCCCAGGGTCCCAGGATCAACTCTTCACAGTCAGGCTTAGCCATTCCTGAGCTTAGCCCCTCACGGTTTTCCTTACCCATTACCCCTTCAAAAACATGTCAGACCAGGCCTCTGACCTGGAGTCCAAGTCTTGGTACTGGTGGCCTGGAGTAATGAGCCACCACCTCTGGTTCTTGGTTCTGAACATGGGATGGATAAGGCAGTTAAAGGTGGTTGCTGGGAGTTTGGGGGGACCCGAGCCTCCCTTTCATACAGCTTAGAGCTAAAGGGCTTGGTCCTGATGGAGTTGGCTGACCCTGGAAGGCTGCAGCTTTTCTGCCTTCCACAGTTGGAGAAGGGAGGCCCACACCTTCCTGGGCTGAAGGCCCCTCCCAGGGCCTGCTCCATGGCAGCAGGCTGCTGCAGCCAGGCAACCTTGGCCCTGGGGATGGCCAGGGCAGTCATGGTTGCCAAGACGGTTTCTGCCACAGACTGCCTCCTGAAAGATGCCAGGGTCTGCTCACCCTCGTGCACCCTCTCGCATCAGACAGGCACCTCCAGAGCACGGGAGGGACAGTCCCACCCTTATGAGGGGCTGTATCTGAGTTGGGGAATTGGGTGCAGAGAAAGTGGTACTGCCTAGGGCTGCAGAATGACCAGACCCTTGGTTTTATCTTTATTGAGGTGACTCCGAAATCAGTACTTAAGTGAGAGCAACCCCAGCCCCAGCCCTGCCTGGACTAGCCCTGTGAGTGGGACACTTTGTCCTGGCCCAGTCCACCGTGTGGCTGCTTGTCCTGAGGTGGGGTGGGCACCTGCTCCTCCCTTCATTCTGGCAGCTCTTGAAGCCCTGCAAGGCATCCAACCCAAGGCATATGACCTCATCCATAAGAGTGTGCAGGGAGGGATGGGGACACAGTGGGCAGGCCCAGAGCTGACCTGGGACATTAAGTTGGGTCTTCTTGGTGCTTGACGAACAGAAGGGCTCCCAGAAAGCCTCTGCCCTGCATCCTGTCTTCTAATGGCTCCAGGATTCTGCCTGGCTCTGGAGAGGCAGGCCTGGCAGAGGCGGGGTTGTATCTAGAGAGCTAGGACCAAAGTGAGAGCTCAGAGGGGCCTGGGGACTGAGTAGGTGWCAGGGAGGGGCCTCATGGAAGGTCACATGCCTGGGAACAGCATGGGCAGARGCCCAGAGATGGGAGGGCAGCAGCCTGGCTGGTACAGGACCCTGGGCTGTACCCCTCAYTCATCCCCATAGCAGCAGGTGGAAGCCCCGGAGCCTCACCCTCCTGTCCTGCAGGTGGAGCCCCCCGAGCTGCCAGAGGACCTGCAGCACTGGATCACCTACAATGAGGCCAGCAGCCAGCTGCTTCGGGCTGAGAGTGGACTCAGTGATGTCATCAAGGACCAGTGACCGCTTCCTCCACTGCCTGCCCATCAGCTTCCTCCTAGGGGCAGTTGGTTACCTACCCAGCTGGTCAGTTGGCATTTCCCACAAAATGGGCAGGCCAGGCTGGGCTTCAGCTGGAGTGACCTTGTGACCACCATAGTCCCCTTCACCTGCTTGACACCCTCTGCTGGGCCCCATGCTGGACGCAATGGAGTGGCATTGGTGCCTGACCCAGTTTTGCCTGCTAGTTGGGGATGGATGGGCAGAGGGGGCCCTGATCATCCCTGTAGTAAGGCCACTATCCCATAGTTCCAGGTAGGGATGTACCTGGAGCAGAGGGACAGCAGGAGTGGCCTGAGCATGGATCCTGAGCTGAAGCTGTGCTGAGTGAAGCAGGGGCCAGAGCAGTGCTGGGCATGGGCTCTGCTCCTGGCCCTCTGCAGGGACAGCATTGTAAGCCTGCTCCCTCTGGCCCCCAGTAAGGCTCGGGCTCAGGAGGGGAGTAGAGTTGGGGTGGTGGTGGAAAGCACTTGGGAGGGAACATTCCCAGGATGTTTTCTGGTGGCAGGGATGCTGTGTAGGCGGGTTGGGCCACCCTTGAGCCCAGGGTCAGGCTGGCAGGGCAGGACTTGTCCAGTTCCTGCAGAACATGAGACCAGGAGTTGCCCCAAGTTCCCAGCTGGCCTCCCTGCCCTGCTGGCCCATGAGCCTTGCACCTGCCCCAGAGAACAGAGTCCCCTGGTGCAGAGTTGGTCTCCTGCCTCTCCTTCCAGGCTGTGTTGGAGGGCGGAGCAGGCAACCGGGGTTTGTGGCCCAGAGGTTCCTGGAAGGGTTGCTGGGAGTGTTCTGGTTAGGGAGGGAACAGCTGGGGGTATTCTGCAAGGGCACCCTCAACTACCTGCACCCATCCGTACCCACTAGGCCTGTGCTACCTCAGGCTGAAGCCTGCCCTCTGGGCCAACAGCCCCTCTCTCCCCCAAGTGTGCCTGCCCCATACCCTGCCCCACTCTAAGCGCTGCTCCCTGCATGGACTGGGGTCAGGGAAGGGTCTTGCATTCTCTGTGATATAGGTCCCTGGGCAGCTGCTCTCAGGCCTTCCTAAGGGACACTGGAAGCTGGCTCAGGCTGCCTACTCCTGCCTAATCCCTTACCTTACAACRGGGGAAACAGGCCTGGGTCAACCCAGAGCTGCTGAGAAAACCCAGGACCAAGTGGGGCTGGTCCCGAGGCTCTGGCCACATCTTGTCTAGCTGGGGTACTGAGGCCAGGGGCTCTGGGTGTGGGGATCTCTGTTTGCCTGCTCCGGGAACCCCCACACCTGCCCTGCCAGCCCAGGGTCAGGACATCACCTGAAGGCCAGAACTGCCTCCCCCAGGAGCTGCCCTGGACCCTCACCTGCCACCTCCCGCCCCATGCTGCCCTCCTGGCCATAGCTGCTCCTTTTTGTCTTAATTAAAGAAAGCACAAGATTAAAGAGTTTTAAAGGTGTGTGTGCTGGGAAAACTCTGGTTCCAAAGCCTGGACCCCCCCTGGGGTCCCATTCCCAGGATGGCAGGGGATGCTGTGTAGGCGGGTTGGGCCACCCTTGAGCTTAGGGTCAGGCTGGCAGGGCAGGACTTGTCCAGTTCCTGCAGAACATGAGACCAGGAGTTGCCCCAACTTCCCAGCTGGCCTCCCTGCCCCGCTGGCCCATGAGCCTTGCACTAGACCACAGGTACCTGCCCAGGCCTCTGGTTCCTTCCAGTCAAGGGATGGCTCTAAGAGGTCATGCCCCATCTGGGTTGGGGACCCTCAACTTCGGGACTTGGGACAGGATGGAGGTGGCAGTTAGGGGCAGAGGCCACTGGGCCCTGGTGGAGGAGAGACAGCATAGGAGCTGCTGTGCAGGCCTTTTGAGGAGTGGTCCCCAAGACAGAGCAGGTGAATGTGGAGTGTGCACCATGTCTGTGCTCTGCCCACCTGCCCAAGGAGTCCTGGAAAGGCAAGGGGAGTGGGACTGGAGAGACTGCCCCCTGCTCTGGTATCTGCACCCTGCTGTGAGCCTGTGGGCACTGCACAGGGGTGGCCACTCAGTGCCTTTCCCCCTCATCTAAGGGGTCCAGGAAGGTTCTGGCTAGACCTTTCAAGGCTTTCTGAGGGACATCTGGAGAGGACGCGCTGGGGCGCTGCTGGGATGTGGCAAGGTCTGAACTGTGCTGCCAGACAGGGGCAGCTTGTCTGGGCAGAACTCCAGACTGGAAGTGGTGGGCATCGGGCCACTGTACCCAGTGCCGGTGGGAGCTGGGAGTGGGGCCGGCAGGGGATGCTCAGGTGGGGCCATGGCCCTTGCTTGGCACATGGGAGGAGCCTCTCCGGGGTCCCTGGTCAGCAGCTGCCCCTGGGGTCGGTGGAGCATCTCTCCTGGACAGAATTCTGGGCTTAGTGATTCGAATAAGATATTATATCCATGTGTGCGGTCGGGGCAGGTGAGCGTTCCCAAGGTCAACCAAGAGCAACGGCTTTCGGAGCTCCCTGAGTCTCTTGGGCAGGAGGCTTAGCCAGGCTCGGGGTGTGGATTCCCCCAGGTCCCGCAGTGCCCTGGTGCGCGGAGGGATCCTGACTATGGGGACTTCCCGGGCTTGGACGCGCGCCCTCTGCTGGCCGCGCTGCCGCCGCCCCAGGGATGGGGATGACCATCAAGGCTCTCCCATCCCCACCTCCTCTGCCTCTCAAAGGGCCTGGAGGCAGCATCCCCAATTCCTCTGCTGGGGAGTGACATCTGCTCGGTCCCCAGGGCAAGGCTGCGGCTCTGACCCCTAGACGACTCTGATCCARGATCCCGGGGTGAACTGGAGGTCTGTAACGCGGGAAATGATCCTAACTGGGGACTGCAGGTGCCAGCCCCGCAGAGAACCCAGCCGGGTGCCTTCAGGCAGGTAGAGGAGCCTCGCCACCATCCCAGCTACTTCCCTGTGCCCTTGGGTGTGTGCGGGGTGTTTGCCAAGCCGGCCAGCCTGCTGTCATCAGTGCTTAGCAGGTGCCACAGGGACCCCAGGGTCATGGCCTGGTGGCCTACGGAGCCTGATGACCCACGACTTYGCAGGGCAGAACCCAGAAAATGCCACGAGGACACGGATGGGAACTGGGGCCTGGAAAGGGCACCAACACTGGGCACCCAGGATGGAGCGGAGCGCCGTGAGGGGCGAGGGCCGAGTGAGAACCTGAGGGCACACTCTTGGGGGTCAGCCCTGAGGACTGTATGTCCCCCAGACAGCCCTGGCTGGTGCTCACTGGGACTGCTACAAGTCCAGGCTGGCACAGAACCCTCTTGGCCATGGGGTCTGGGAGACAAGCTGGCACTGTCCAGTCTCATCTGGTTGTCCCAGCTGTCCCAAGGTGATGAGCAGACCATTGTCAGAGGGGTGACTGAAGCCTGGGAGTTGCATCTGCCCTGGGGAGACCTGGGGTGGGGGGCTCTTGTGACCTCCTGTTCTGCCTCCCCTGGCTGCATCGATGGCACCGCCAGGCTGGTCAGAACCAGACCCCCCCAGTCATGGGGAATATCAGATCCTAACACCCTTTCCACCCTGGGGAGGCAGTGACCCCCAGGATTTGAGGGGGGTGCTTCTTAGGAAGAGTTTCCTGGGACTAAGGAACAGGTTCTGGCCTGAGACGTGGGGCTAGTCTGCAGGAAGGGTGACCCAGAAGGCATTTCTGCCCCAGGCCTCCGTCTCCCCATCTGGGAAATGGATCCAAAGGCCTTGGGTGAAAAAGAGGGTCGGGAGCCTGGAGCAGGCCAAGCGGGCCCAGCTCTCCTAAAGACCCTCTGTGGGCTCTCAGTGCCCAGGAAGGACAAAACTCATCTCCACCCTTGGCTTATTTATTTTCTACACGTTTTGGGGACAGAGTGAGTGGCCTGAGGCCCAGTGAGCTCCGCTCACGGAGACATGTAGGCAGGGGTGGCCACCAGCAGTGCTAGGCCCTGTCAGGAGAGGAGGTGCCCGAGGAGCACTGCTCCCACTGTGGACAGAGTCCCAGCACCCAGCTGGGCTGCCTCCACTGAGTTGCAGAGGTCGCGGAAGCAGCAGAAGACGGGGTGGGCAGCCCCGATGCTGTCGGGGTCAGTGGCTAGGCAGGAGTCGGAGCAGGAGCGGGTCACCATGGGGCTCTGGTCGAAGGGGTACTCTGCAGGGTGGGCAGGCGTCAGAGCCTGCACCCACTGCAGTGCCTGCCTGGCTCTGTGTGTCCCCCCTGCTGCTCCTGATCACCACCTTTGCTTCCTACCTCCTCCAACCCCACCGGCATTCCTGTCCCAGATCTGGGAGCCTTCCAGTCCCCAACCCCAACGGTGACAGGTTTTTCTAATAAAAGCACCAGTGCCCGGAGCACCTGTGGTGCCCGGGCCTGAGAGGAAGCCCAGCCCTGAGGCTGCAGCAGCACCATCCAACAGTCAGCAGAGTGCACCCCACTCCCAGTGCCTGGGGCCTGGGGTCTGGGGTGCTGAGCTTCCCTTGCTGCAGGCACCCCTCTCAGATGGGAAGCCTCCATCCTGTACTTCCTGCCCCTCTGCCTCCCAGGCCAAGAGGAGCAAGGTGCATCCAGGGAGGCCTTGGGGAGAGGTGGGCCCGCCCTGTGCTGGGGCCTGCCCTGGGCCTCACCATTCTCCACCTTCTCCAGTGTGGTCTTGCAGGCCGTGTCCTCCAGCTTGCAGTAGGTAATGTTTTTGCAGGCGTAAATGGGCGTGGGCCGCTCRCAGGAGTAGCACCTGAAGGCCTCACCTGGGGGGGGGGGCAGCAGAACCTCATCACCTGGCCAGCTCAGCCCATCCTGGAGCCCKGGGATGGGGCTGGAGGACACCTGCTGAGCTCCTTTGGCTGGAGACGGGTGTGAACCTGCACCTTACCACCCCAGCCTCGTCTCCCTTCAAGGAGAGTGGAGCCATGACACTCTCCCAGGGTGCAGTTGGGCTCTGGAGGCTCACTGAGAGCCATACAGCCCCCGCCCTCTGGGAGGTGGGCAGACTGAGGCCCCGGGCAGGGTCCCGCCGGATTCCCCCACTACTCACCACAGCCCATGCTCCAGGCTGCGAGGAGCAGCAGCCGCGTGGCCCAGGAAGAGGCCATTCCTGGGTGCTTGGCGCTGGGAGGGTGGCTGGGCCCATGTTAAGGATTTATACCAGCCCCCGCAGCTCCTGCTCCTGGGCGGCGGCGGATCTGGCCGTGACTCAGTGGGGCGGCACAGGGCAGAGTGGGGAGGGCTGGCAGGACTGGGTGGTGGCCCGGGAACGGTTGTCACTCACCAACCCTCCGGGGCGGGACCCCTCGGAGGCCTCCCTGGGAGCCCCGGTCTGAGAAGCGTGGCCCTGCCCTGTGCTGGCACACCTCCAGCAGACCCCCCTCGTGTCACCTGCTCTGCCCCTGGGGTTCACAGATGCCTTGGAGGCCCCCAGACCCAGGTGTAGGTCAGCTGCAGGGAGACCCCACAGGAACTGCAGCCTGGCTGGCCAGCTAGGGTCCTGGCAGGTGTCCTCGGTCCTGGACTCTCTCCACCTGGTGCCCACAAAGCAGAGGCCTGACCCACGTGGGAAAGGGCGAGTGCCTAGTAAAGTGGGGGTGGCACGGGGGTGCTGCTGGCCAGTAGGCCCCTTTGGGTGTGGGGCCCCGGCCTGGCCCCTCATCATTGCCCGTCTTCTCCCAACTGAGGACCTTTGGACCAAACCTGAGCTTGGGAGTTTTAGGCCCCTGACAGCAGGGCTCTGCCAGCCCTCTGGCCTTCTTCACTGTCCACCTCTTACCACACACCAACTCACGTCCACACCCTTTCCTGTGCCAGGCATCTCACAGTGATGGCTCACATCTTCCCTGTGTCATAAGGCCACCCAGGTGCTCCTCCTTCATAGCCCTTCCCAGGATCCGCCTCCTCCATTTCTGTTCTTCAAGGTCCTGATCGGTGGTTGGCTGTGTGGCCAGATCCATGGTGAATGAATGGAGGATGGGTGGGTGGTGTGTCGATGGATGATGGATGGGAGAATGGATAGATGGAGGATGCCTAGATAGATGGGCGGACGGCTGGATTGATGGGTAGAGGGATGAGCGGGTGGGTGGAGAATGACATTCCGATGGGTGGTATTGAGAAAGTGAGTGGTGGAGAGATGAAAGGAGAGGAGTATTTATGGATGGGCAGACGGAAGATGATGGATGGATGGGTGGGTGGGCGGGTGGAGTGATGGAGGGGCAGGTAAGTAGACAAGTGGGAGTGGAGTGTGGATGAGGAGCTCACTGGGCAGGTGTGCACGTGGCTCCCTGGAAGGCTGAAGGTGGGTCCTCTGTGGCAGAGGCCGGTCACACTCTGTGTGGCGGGTGGGATGCTGAAAGGGTTCCTGGGCAGGTACCTAGGAGTTTTCCCTTGCAGCCGTCCCCCTGTGGCCTTGGGTGGCTCCCTTGCCCCTCCAGACCTTGGCTTCCTGTTTGTCTGCT